AATGTTTGAGAATGGCACATTCTGCCGAGTCAAGACCTCATGATATTAGGGAAACGAGACATGCGCTTTCAGCATGTGAACCGACGCCTAACATCTGATTCATACGCCTCCATTGAGGTTATTAGGACCCGTCTATATTATGCTATAATCGCAGTGTGTGATTTATCGATTTTTAAATGCGTCTGTATGAGCATTCTTTATTAACCCGGACAATCACTCGAGTTTGTATTTAAAAATTTATCCAGGGATCGTTAACTGATAGACACAATGGATTTCATGAACAGATATCTGAAAGCGATCCTGTGCTCAAATGCGAAGAATTCCTTTTTCACGGGTTCTGTCGTAAGGATCCGATTCATCTTCCTTTCTTCTATCATGTTAAACTGCAAGCTTAAGATAGACCCAGATAACGCTAACCAGGGATCCACGATTCCCAGTTTCCGGACGAATAATACGGAGTCGGTATTTTGGATCAATCAAATTTGTCGTGACCTATTCAGGACTAGTAAGCCTAGAAAAACACAAACGCTGACTGGCTAACACACTCTGAACCAATAATCGGTTGGTGTGTATGTGTACTGATCAATCCGCTTCACTTCTTTCATTAAAACAACCGCGACTGCCTGTGCCTCATTATCCGGGAATTCCGGTAACCAATGGCGAGTGAGATCGTGAACACCAATGTGAAAATGCCCTGAGTAGCACACAGCTGTAACCAGAGGGTTTAGCATAAGCGTTTCAAGGAGGTACCATTGTGGGATTACGTAAGTTTTCTCGGTTAGTTTATTTTTGAATGTCCAGTTTCGGACCATTGCAGCTAATACGGAGTGTTTAAGGGTGCTTTCAGCAAATAGGTCTTATCTTCGTCAGTTGTTTGATAATGTTCCCGTCTCGTTTCCCTAATATCATGAGGTCTTGACTCGGCAGAATGTGCCATTCTCAAACATTTGTCTGCTTCTTTCAGTACCCCCCGAAGACCGCCTCCAGTTTGCGTATAAACCCAACAGGTCCACTTTGAATGCTATTGCCTCCCTTGTTCATTACGTTACCAAATATCTAGATGCATCTGCGAAATCTGTAAGATTTTTTTCTCAGATTTTTCATTGACTCTTTTCCACATTCCCTCCTCCTTTGTAACATGAAATCATTTGTCTGCCCCAAGCACCTACTTCTTGGGCTGGTTGAGCAATTCACAAACAGAAATCAGCATACACGGCTCGGTCGAAAACATCTAAACCCCTCGTGAACAATTGGGGTGTGCTCCAGGGAACGATACTTTCCCCGCTTTTTTTCGGTCTGTATCGTTGATCTGTCAACGAGTTCTCCGGCCCAGTGTTATTGATGACGTAGCCAATTGCCAAGCTATTTCTGTGTCTGAGGACCCTTTAACTTTCTCCAACAATCTATCACATATCCGTGAACTTTCCGTTTGTTCTGGACTTGCTCTTAATTAATCGAAGTGCTTCAAATGCATTTTTATCCTCTCTCGATCTGTTTACCCCCGCGACACCTCGGTCATAACACAGCTCTTCTAAACACAGTAGATTCAGTGATACAGTATTGATAGGAGTTACCATTGACACAAGCTTCAAGTGGACACCTCATATTTACAACTGTGTGAAGAAGTTTACCTTTTCAACTTCGAAGACTGAGGCAGTTCAACACCAAACAAAAATTCATTTTGCTTTATTTTGTTTTTCCTACTTTCTTTTTATTGTTCCCCTGTGGTTTTTGCTGAAGAAAGACTTTAAAATTAATCGCCACGATTTGTCGACTATCTGTCGTGCACCTTTTAAATCCGTTGATGATCCGTCTAAAAATCTGTAAACTACACTTGTCCGCATGTGAATCATTGCACAGAAAATTTTCTCTGACCCCACTGATCCCTTACATAGTGACCTATCCAAATGCCGCCCTCATTCATCCATGCGTTCTACATATCGTTTATTACCCTCTACAGAAATTCTATAGTTCCCCATCTCGCTAGAATCCTTGCAAACCGACAGCGCGTTTCCTCTGAATGTCTCAAAAACGTTGAAAGTTAAGTGCTTCACTCGTATTCTTTCCTTCTCTCGACGAGCTGATGTGTAAGTTTTGACTGAAATGTGGACATCTGTCCATGCAAATATAAATACAGTACAAATGTAGTGGCAGTGGTTGAGTGAATGAGGCTATCATGTCAGCGACTCGGAAGTCATGAGTTCAGATCCCCCACCATCATCAGTTTCCTCCCCCGAAAACCTTTATTTAGTCACAGTACTGCTGCTGAAAAACTCATATCCAATAAATAAAACGGAAGCAAAATATCGGAACTGTTATCATAAAAGGTGTACTCATATTGTGATGGAAGGTGGTACAAACAGGGCCCCGGCTAGCGAGCGAATCAAGAACGGGACCCATCCAACCAGACGCGCAGACGTAGCGGCTGGAAGTACCTCGAGAGACAATGTTGATTATTACCCGAAACGAACGAATCGACAATCACAGCCCGACAGACGATCCGCAGCTAACCAGAAAGATAAACCGAATTGCACCATGTCGGAGCTGTCGATCAACGTATCTCGCGCTACGATCCGGTCAAACCAGCCGGAACAGCACGCGGAAGAAGAGGCAACGTACGCGCCAAGTGCGGACCAAAACCAGCAGGGATCGATCAACAGAAAGAGGCGTGAATCATCCTGCCACGCGGTTGAGAATTGAATGTATATAATTGAACGCGTACACCAGTTGTTTTTGAATTGGATAAATAAACGTTTCCCCAGCCAGCTCGCCTTCTCGCTACATTATAACACAGGTCAAATGAAGGCATACCTCATTAGCTGCGTCGAAGTTATTAGTCACAATCCAAATTTGTTGCCTGCACAACCTCAGTATTTGAGATGTTTTATGTAGGTGAATAGGAAGATTCTCTCCAGATGGTTCTGGGCAAAATTTGATTTGCCAGTCACCAAATGTTTGTAGATATGTAACCTGTAGACGGTACGAAAAGTTTCTTGAAGTTACTGCAGTGACAGGAAATCAGGGAATACCGTGGGAAATGTTTGGGAAGACGCAACACTATTCTGTGGTTGATTGTGCAGTTGGAAAGGGTTCAACCAGTGGAGGTGGATTAGCACAAAGTTGTTTTGGTGATTCATCCGGACGAAATAGTTTATTGCCCACACAAGCACATGCACATAGAGTCTCGGATTATGCCGCAAGTGCAGATGCTATAAGGGGTTATCCATAGTCATCCTCTACCGATGCATGACTAAAACTCGTTGGTCCATGCTTGCATGTATACAACAATAAATAAAAATCCTTATCAATTGCATTTAGAAAAAAATATGAATTGTTCTATTCTTGGTGTCCCCGCTCCAAGCACTCACAACACTATAGTGAAAGAACGCAATCCGTTTCGGTGACTCATGATCACTTCTAATAGTACAACATTTCACACACTAGGAGGACGTAAGCTACTGAACTATGTGATATGGCATGGATTTCCTGTCCGTAATCGTTCGATTGTCTGCCGTTCGTGAAGTGTGCACACGTGAGAACCTGACTGGTTTTAAACCTGGTGGATCTTGTATTGATCCCATCTTCACTCTTCGTGAAGTCCTAGAACACAGACACACTTTTCGTAGACCCATCATCTCTGTCCTCCTGGAACTAAATGCGGCTTTCGACTCAGTCGACCGCTCTAGACTCTGGTGCTACCTTTCCCTGAAGGGCATGTCCGAGATGTTTATTTCAATAATACAATCCCTCTACAACAATAACCGAAACCGAGTCCGAGCTTTCGGCAATTTTTCACCCGAGTTCACTACAGAAATTGGTGTTTGACAGGGTTACCCTCTCTCCGTTTCTATTTAACTTTGTCACAGATTTCATTCTTGAAACAGCCCTATCCCCGTGCGACGATAGCGGCATCGATCTACTCCCGGGTGGCGAACTATCTAATATAGAGTATGCAGACGACATCGCGCTACTAAGCGAAGATTCAGGTAAGTTGTAAGCTTTTCTGGATAGTTGAGTGCTGGCATAGCCATGTTCGGTGTGCGTTTTGCACCTTCAAAGTGCAAAATGCTGCTCCAGGATTAGGTCGGCCCATTCCCTAACCTCACACTGACCGGGGAAGTAGACAAGTTTTGCTATATGGGCAGCTATATCTCACCTGGAGGATGCATCACAGATGAAGTGTCGGCGCGCATACAAAGGGCTCGGTTGGCATTTGCTAACTTGAGACATCTATGGCGCCGTCGCGACATCCGGCTATCGGTGGAGGGTCGAGTATTTACTGTAGTAGTTCGGCCAGTTCTGCTTTACGATGCACAGACTTGACTATTACGGGAACAGGTTAAAAATAGGTTGTCGGTGTTCGAACACCGCTGTTTAAGTAGCATTGTACGAGTCCGGTGGGGTAAACGAACGAGCGATGCTGAGGTTAGGCGTAGAGTTCTAGGTAATCGCGGTCGCCCTTCATAGATTACGCTGGTTGGGACATGTGCTACTCATGTAATCAGATTGGTTGCCACGGCGAGCGATGTTTGCCGAGGAAGGCAGCGGTTGAAAAAAGGTCAAGGGTGGTCAAACTAAGACCTGACATGAGGGGCCGTAAGGCTCCCTGGCTGGGGACCCTGAGATCATAGTCACCGATGGTTAGAGACACAGCGATATGTCTGGATGTCGCAAACAGTGGCGCTCATGCATCTATTCATTACTATTGTAACTTCAGTCTATGTAAATGCATTACCTTCTACTTGAATCTGCTCTCAACATTCTAATCATCATTCTGCTGTTTATCCAAATGGGCAACCAAAAGACAGCAACCAAAACCGGCGCACGAAAGTGCATGGTTAATGGTTGTAAGAACTGAACTGAACTGAACTGAACTGTTTGATGCTCACTTTATGTGGTTGCAGAGTATAAATGGATTTTTACACTTTTACTTTAGTGCCCAGAAAATCCTTATTCTAAAGAAGGCTTCTGTTACCAGCTTAGTAGAGCAAAAATGAGACTGACCTTTCTGCGTCTCCAAATTAAATCATTATCATTATGAGTGTATACAACTTTACGTATTTTTTTTGATGTCCTATTTTTCTCGGTCCATCTTCGAGCAGATAGGGCTCACGTGCATGTACCTCGAATGAAGTTATGATCTATTAGGTGGGAAGCAGACAATTTCCCACATGTATCATGTGAACAAAAAACGAAGACCGACCGTCGGCTCGTATTATGTTGGAAAAACTGCTGTGCAAGTTGCATTCGCTAGGCTTCCTCGTCGTGCTCCGAAATCACCGTACACTTGACGGTGGCCAATTGTCAAACAAGCTGATTGCGATGATGATGTACATTCTGTCTGTCTGCAGGTGCAATGATTAACGCAGTAGGAGACTGCATACTTGATGCAAATGGATCTATAAATTTTGAGCTTCCTGTCTTGTAGAATTCAGTGATTATGTTCAGTCTTCGGTCGATCCTCTCCCCTTCGTCGAAAAGGTTTGTTCACGGTTCGTTTGTTTTGCATGAAGTGAAACCATAAAGTTATCGAATGAGTTTTGCGTAAACAATAACTTCATTCTCAGGGTGTTTTTCTGATACTCCATGTGAATCCCCAAGCGAACTAGGGGTAACAGTTCAGACTCCAGTTGGGATACGAAATTTCCTAGAGTGGAGGATAGTGTGGAGACATTTTGAATTTTCTTTGTTGATCAATAAAATATTCATTCGAATAAAATTTTGAGATTGTTTGAAGGTGGTGTGCATGCAAAGTTAGAAAGGAAAAGCTTTGAGACGGGGTCGGAACGTCAGAAATTCCTCAACAATGATCCTGTCGACGAAAACAAGATGAACAACACAGGGACTATGGTTGTCATGAAAAATGCTCAGATTTCGAAAAACGGATTGCGATATAAGTAGCACTTTTTCCTAAAATGGTGCAGCAAATCGCGTAAAAATTAAGATTTCTGATCGAACAGGGACTATTACGAGCCTATTGATCAGAGTAATTCTGAACTACATTCAAACGTCACCAATGTCGTCCCTCTGTGAAATGGCAGCTTCGGTTAGGTCACCACTTTTCAAATAACACGCATACTGGATAAAATATCCATTGACTTGTGATCCTTTCCTCTGAGTCATTTGATTGTAAAACCTGCTTTGAGAAAGACTAGCCACGGTAGCCGAAACGTCAACGAATAGAATTCTCCACCGACATCGCTGTGTTATTAACATTGTAACATTCACAAAAAATGGATATATTAGTTCAGAAAGCAATGGTTGGACAACCTGGGTGATGTTATTACACGCATCAAACGCCACCTCACTGTAGTCCCGCCTGGAAAGCTCGTAGCATAAGCAAGTAGGCTTTCTAATGTGGTCAATCATTCCCAACGGATGGGGCAAAATTAAATGAGCAATCACTGGGTGGAAAAGCCCATTTAAGATAAATGGGCAAAGGCCCGTTGTCTGGCCATACCATGGAGCAGAGCAAGCCCAAATTGGGAACTGAGTCACGGAATGAGCACTCTGGTGTGACTACGCTGGTTCAAACGGGGGGGGGGAAGGTACAGTGTCTATACCTTTTGCAATTCAATTTGTCCCAATATCATATCAGAATGTCCGGGAAGCATTTCAACTTCTATTGCAGTTGATTTCATACAGGTATATCATTCCGTTCCGAAAATGTGACCAAAATGGCCATTTTGATTGTTCAGTGCTTGAAGTCGCTTCTGCGATGGTGCCACAGGGATGGATTATGACCTGAAAGTGTCGAACAAACTGGATGTGGGTGACCGAAGCCCGTCTCACAATCATCCCCCGCACTTCCACGGGAGGTAGAGAAATCGGTTTTGCATGGTAGTCATCCAGACATCGCTGGGAGGCTTGTCAGCACCGGTGAGGTCAACGCGACAGCTTGAAATAATCCAAGGCCATCTTGAAATGATATTGGGACAATTCGAATTGCAAAAGGTATAGAATAAATTGGGTGGTAGTCGACCGTGAGCAGGGTGAAGTGATGAGCATACACGTATTATGCAGTCTCCGAAACATGAAATAATTACTATGACTGCGGCATGGATACACTCTCCTTGTCGTCCACAGGATGTACATAGTGGCTGGTTCAAGCGAATAAGGGAGAACGTTTTTCTGACTGTATGGACTCCTTCACACACACACACACACACACACACACACACACACACACACACACACACATACACTCCTAGATTTTTGGATTATCTCCACTCTCACATGCACCATTATAACCATTTTCTGAGGATCTACAGACGACAACCGAATGAAAAGCCAAAATAGGTAATTACATCAAAGTGTATCAAATTTTAACAAAAATGGCACAAGTAACTATTTTCACCGCGACATAAGTATTGTACCCCCATATTTTATACCCATTGAAGCCAATTTACTAATTTGTATAAGATTTCGAATCATGTCTGTGTCGATATCATTCCACTCCTCTATCAACACTGCTTCTAATTCATCTTTTTTCATGTTAGAACAGCTGAAGTATTCCCTATTTGACCAAATCTGATTTACACGCAGGCCACGCCATTATTTTGATGCCACGAGATATTACCTAGAATTTTGTTAGATACGAATAGTGAACTACAGTGCATGGCGCGGAAAAAGTGAACGAACGCAATTTGTTTCGTTGACTCATGATCACTTCTAATAGTACAACATTTCACACACTAGGA